CCCTGGCCTGTTTGGCTCAGCAGTTGGAGCATCGGCCTGTGGACCAGAGAGAGTTCTGGGTTTGGTTCCCGCTAGGGGCATGTACCAAAAAAAAAAAAAAGAAAACCATTTATTATTCATATTTTTATGAATATCCTTGAAAAAGTACAAACTGTATAATAGTACTAATAAATATTACATAGTACTCACATAGTACTAATAAATATTTTATTAACAAACAGAATCCAACACTACATTAAAAATATGATTTACTATGATTATGTAGGATTAATTCCAAGAATGCAAGGTAAGTTCATCATTTGGAAATCCATTAATATCATATGTCATGTTAATAGATCTTAGGAAAACTAGTCATAGGATTATCTCCATAAATGCTGACAAAACTTTGTCAAAATTCAACATCCATTCTTCATAACAATACTCAAGAAAATAGAACTTGATGGATACTTAACATATATTTATACACACATATACTCTCACACACATATAATTATTTATATTTTATATATACATATATTTATAGACCTGTTGTGTGTGTGTGTGTGTGTGTTAAAGGAGACCAGGCAACAACAATTTAAGTGAAACAAGATGAGCATCTAAATTGATGCAGTATAGTTAGAAAAGGACAAATTTCAGAAAGAAGTCAAAGGTAACTGAATAATGTATATCTATCTATCTATCATCTATCTATCGATCCATCTATAAGTATACACACACACACACACACACACACACACACACACACACATAGTCGAACCTTGGTTCTAGAACATCTTCTATCTTCAACAATTCAGTTGTCCACCAAGATGTTCATGAAAAAATGTCTTGGTTGTCTAACCAAACTTTTGTTTTCAACCTGACAACCATTTCATGCTGATACCTCAGCATGACAAAGTGTCAGCCAACAAAGGAGAGAATGCTTTTGTTGCTGGTGAAATGGATTAGCACAACTTTAAAACATGAAGAGGCCTTAAAGAGTGCTAATGTTGCTAAGGGTGTGAACAAAACAAGGAGCACAGGCAATTGATGAGGTAGAAAAACGGTTGTTGATTTGGGTGAATGAAAAGCAGTTAGTGGTGACAACATTCCGGAGGCCATTATATGAGAAAAGCAAAGATGCTGCACGCTGACCTCCTGCAAGGCACCCCTGGAACAAGTACTGGAGCTGATTGGTGAAGGCCAGTAGGTGGTGGTTCGATAAATGTAAGAAAAGAAGTGTTTGTATATAGATTAAACAGTACATTAGACATGTACTGTATATAGGAAAGGTTAAAACAGGGAATCATTTGGAGATCTGGAATGAATGAATCCAATTTACATTATTTCCAAAGGAAAAAAATGATTCAGTTTTCAAACAAATCGCTTCTTGAACAGCCTTCTGAAACGAATAAAGTTTGAGAACCGAGCTTCCACTGTATTAATATATCTTAGTCTTAGTCCTAAAGCCAGTGATACTAAATTGGGAAACACTACAAGCATTTTTTTTTCTAATTGTGCCTTATAAACAGGAACAAGGCAAGGATGGTCACTGTCTTCACTGCTATTCTACTGGATATAACCAATACAACTAGACTAAAAAAATTGATTCCAGGCACAAGTCTTAGTAAAGTAAAACTCTTTGCAGTTGATTTCATAGTAAACCTGGAAAACCATAGAGAATCAATGACAAACTAACTCAAACAATGAAAGTAAGGTAACAGGATATAAAATTAAAAGACTGAAATCAACAGCTTTCATATACACAAACAATAACAAGTTAGGGGACACACTGGTAAGAAAAAAACCTCATATACAATAGCAACAAAAAACATTACATACTTAGAAATGAACTTAACAAGAAATGTGCACATTTAAAAACTTTTATAAGGCACAATTAAACAAATGGAAAGACATCCTTTGTTCTTGAATAGGACAATTCAACATCATAAAGATGTCTGTTCTTCCTAAGTTAATTTTTTAATTTAATACAATCAATAAAAATTCCAACAAGTTTTTTAAGGAAGTTAAACAAATTGATACTAAAGTTCATATAGAAAAATAAATGTGCAAGGATAGTGAAGAAAACACTAACGAGAATTTTCAGTGGGAGACTAGCTCTACCAGACATTAAAATACACTATAGAGCCTCTATAATTAAAACACCGTGGCCCTGGCCAGATTGGCTGAGCAGTTAGAGCATCGGCCCATGGACCAAAAGGTCTTGAGTTTGATTCCTGGTCAAGGGCAGGTACTTTGGTTGCAGGTTCCATCTCCAGCTCTGGTCGGGCTGGTGTAAAAGGCAACCAATTGACGTTTCTCTCTCTCTCTCTCTCTCTCTCTCTCTCTCTCTCTCTCTCTCTCTGTCTCTCCCCCTCTCTCTCTTTGTCTCTCTCCCTCTCCCTCCCTTCCTCACTCCCTGCCTTCCTCTCTCCCTCCCTCCCTCTCTCCCTTCCTCCCTCCCTCTCTCCCTCCCTCCCTCCTCTCTTCCACTCTATCTAAAACAAAAAAATTGTGATATCAGTGCATGAATAGACAGACAGTGGTATAGACTAGAATGCCCAGACACAGATCCAAGAATGTATGAAAATTTAGTTTATGATAAATATGGTATCTCATTGAGTAAAGAGGGCTTTGCTTCCCCCCATTTCTTTCTTATACTGTACATTTTTTATTGTGATAAAAAACATAACACAAAATTTATCATCTTACTATTTTAAAAAAATGTATCTTTATTGTTGAGAGTATTACAGATTTCTCCCCTTTTCCTCCCATTAACCCCCTCCTCCCTCCTGTCCCCACTGCCTTCACCACACTATTGTCTGTGTCCATGGGTGTGCATATGTGCATGTTAGTTCTTTGGTTTATCTCTTCCCACCCACAACCCTCTTCCCTCTGAGGTTTGTCAGTCTGTTCCTGCTTCCATGACTCTGGATCTATTTTGCTCATCAATTTATTTTGTTCATTAGATTCCACATATAAATGAGATCATGTGATACTTGTCTTTCTCTGACTGGTTTATTTCACTTAGCATAATACTCTCCAGGTCCCTCCAAGCTGTCTCAAAGGGTAAGAGATCCTTCTTTTTTAAGTGCACAGGTTTGTGTTAAGTTTATTCACATTTTTGTGAAACAGATCTTCAGAACTTTTCATTTTGCAAAATGGAAACTCTATACCCATTAAACAATAGCTGCCCATTTCTATTAATCTGACTACTTTAAATACCTCATAAAACTGTTATCACACATTATTTGTCACTTTGTGACTCCCTTGTTTAATTTAGCATAATGCACTCAAGTTTCATCCATGTTGTAGCATGTGACAGAATTACTTTCCTTTTTAAGGCTGAATAGTGTTTCATTGTAGGTAAACATTTTGTTTATCCATTCATTCATTGATGGACACTTGGATTGCTTCCACCTTTAGATTATTGTAAATAATGATACTATAAACACGAGTGTAAAAATATCTCGTTGAATCCCTGCTTTCAGGACCATTGCCTTTTAAGACAATGATGTTCGCCTTGCTCATCCATGCTGAAGGCATCAAGAATTCCAACCGCCAAGCATATGAAAGAAAAGACTACATGATGTTAAACCCTTTTAGAAGCAAAACCACAAACTTTTCCTTAGAGTTTTTCAATGTTCCATCATTGAAATAGATCATTTCTATGAACAAAAACGATTATCCAGTAAAGACAGTTATCTTATTTGTTTACTTTTGCATAATTTTGATAAATTTGAACATTTTAAAAGTAAATGGACTATTTGCTACTATAGGATGTGAAGATAACGATTTCTAAAAGCTTAAAACCCCATTTAAATTTGAGAAATGTCAAGCATTCCATATCCTCTTATGCTGTTCGTTTGGCTATAGGGTATAAAACAAGGACCATGCACTGCTGAGAGCCTTTGTACAAGGAAGGATTTACTGGACCATTGCTAGCAAGAAAGACCAGGTCCTGGGCATGACGTCTACACAACCAGCGCAACCAGCGCAACAAGCATGCCTGCAGTCTTGGAGTTAATGGGCTTTTTACGCAGCAGGCAGGGGGAAGAAAGGTGCAAACTATTTTGAAAGAATTTACATTAGGCTCAGTTCTGGGATAGATGCAGAGTCTGTAAGGGTGAAGTGTTTGCTCGTCTGGATTGGTTTTTGTGGAAAGTTCCTGTGTACACAAGAAGCAGAGGCTTCTCTGGTGGGGTGATGGCAGGCTAGTCTCATTTATTTATTTATTTTCCAATCCTCACCTGAGGATATGCTTATTGATTTTAGAGAGAAGAAAAGGGAGGGAGAGAGAGGGAGAGGGAGAGGGAGGGGGAGAGAGAGAGAGAGGGAAGGAGGGAGAGAGAGAGAGAGAGGGAGGGAGAGAGAGAGAGAGAGAGAGAGAGAGAGAGAAACATCAGATGTGAGAGAGAACATCGATTGGTTGCCGATGGGGGATTGAACTCACAACCTAGGTATATGCCCTGACCAGGAATTGAACCCACAGCCTCTCAGTACACAGGATGACATTCCAATCAACTGAGCCACACCAGCCAGGGCCTGCTAGTCTCAGATAATGATGGAAATAGCCACCTGGGAGTTAATTCAAAGTTTCAACTTACATTCAGAATGTAAGGAGACTTTTGTTGGTTTTGCCCTGAAGTTAACTGATTAACCCCTTCTTGTCTCTTCCTTCTATCCTTTGGCCTGCTATAATTTAACTTAAGACATCTCCGAATTTTCTCCTTGTTAAAGGTTAAGCTCAGAATTATTTTAGGAGTCACCAGTTTAGGGTTTTTTGTTAGCCTTTTGAAGTATGAGTTTTTTGACAGGGTGTAAGGATCAGGAGAATGTAAATTGGTCTTTCTTATTGTATTCCAGGCTATACCCAAGCTATCATCTCTTTATTTCAAATTCTCTGACTAATCAGGCTGTGCTGGGAACCCAACCCATTTCCTGATCTCTATATTTGAAATCTCTTGTTGACCCCATACTTTTCTTACTAGTATTTGTTTTCCTATTTTTGCTCCTATTTGAAGGTACATTCACTGGTTCGATGGAATGGCTTTGCTTCACCAGTTTAAGATGGAAAAGGGCACAGTGACATATAGGAGCAAATTTCTACAGAGTGACACATATAAGGCCAACAGTGTTCATAATCGAATTGTAATCTCAGAATTTGGCACACTGGCTCTCCCTGATCCATGCAAGAATATTTTCGAACGTTTCATGTCCAAGTTTAAGCTGTCTGGTAAGCAGCTATTAATGTGCCCAGAATTTGCAGGTGATAATGATTATTTAAATTGTTATGACATATAAATCTTGAAATAAATTTTTTGGAGTGAGAAGATGTTTAAACTGCTTTCTCCTTCCTCTTGTGGTGCTTCAATAACTCTGGGGTTTGGTTTCAACAGTAACTGACAACACCAATGTCAACTATGTGCGGTACAAGGGGGATTACTACGTCAGTACTGAGACCAACTTTATGAATAAAGTGGACATTGAAACCCTGGAAAAAACAGAAAAGGTAAATTATGGATTAAAAAAATGAATAAAATAGACTCTAAAATTTTTTTCCATTCAAAATACTTTCCAGCATAGTAGGTACCTGAATAAGAAATTGGAACCTTTACCAAATAAAAACAAAATTACCTACTGTGTGCTCTCTGTCCTGATCAAAATGACCTGTGGGTTTGGTTTCTCATAATTCTAGGCTTCTTCCTTAGTCCTAATATCTGAAGGGTAAGGTGAAAGAGAAATAGAATAGTACATATTTACTTTAGCTAGTCATGTTCTTCCAAGCTACAGGTGGAACTGGACTGGTGGTTCTCAACCTCCTTAATGCCGTGACACTTGAATACAGTTCCTCATGTTGTGGTGACCTCAACCATAAAATTATTTTTGTTGCTATTTCATAACTGTGATTTTGCTACTGTTATGTCTTAGGCGATCCCTGTGAAAGGGTTGTTCGATCCCCAAAGGGGTCGTGACCCACAGGTTGAGAACTGCTGGTCTAGACTCATACTGGTTTTGCTTAGTGCATTAATTTAAAGTTAAATAAAATTCTGGACTATAATTTTAAATTATGATTCTTTTGAACTTTCCTGTAATCTTGGGGGAAAAAATTACCCTTTTTGGATGATCATTTTTGTCCATTTTTTGTTTGTTAGTGGTGGGGTTTTTGTTTTTACTTTTTTGGTCTTAATTTATTTTTCTTTAGTAAGAAAAATGATTTTGATTTCTCAGAGGTGAGATATTAGGCCTTGGACTGTAGTTTTCGTATCTTATTTTAAAGGTATTTGACCCATCTCTGCTGTCTATGCATCTAAATAGAGATCTGCTCATGTAACATTTAAAAGTCTCTGATGGTCTTAAATTTGTAGGTAGACTGGAGTCAATTCATTGCTGTGAATGGAGCAACTGCCCACCCTCATTATGACCCAGATGGAACTGCATACAACATGGGGAACTCCTATGGACCACATGGTAAAGTGGGAAGGAGGTCTTTCTAAAAATAATTAGGAGTTTACTGTCTTCCTGGGTTCCATTATAGTTAAGGTGTAAACATATGAAACTTCCTTTGAAAGGTTCAGAAAAAATCTCCAAAGTGGCATCACAGAACTTAAAGTACATAATTTATCATTGAGTATGTGTTCTGTGGTCCTTTTGCACATATACTTAGCAGCTGATTTTCTATTTGACCTTCTCAGCATCACTCACATTGTTAGGTTCCATTGTGCTTTTGGGCTCACAGCATTATAGGGATTTTCAACGTGTGTTTCTCAAATTTGAATTTTTATGAAGTACCATATTGTAAGTATAAAAACTTTAGAATTCTGCAGCAAAGATATAGTGAAGATACACTATCTATCACAGGGGAAGAAATTTATTTTTATAATAGGAACAATACACTGCAAAGTAAGATGAAGTTATAGTACAGTTACATTTACAACCACATAAATCATGTACTTCCCCAGCTACCTACCAATCTGCTCCAGAAAGTTCTTATAGCTAGTAATGATAGTTAACATTTACTCAATGCTTAGTATGTGCTGGTGTTAAACATTTTTCTATATATGTTTTCATTTAGTCCTATAATACCTCTCTGAAAAAGGTACTATTATTACTCAATTTTACAGACAAGGGCAGTGAAGGTTTAAGATCCTTGCTTAGGCCCTGGCCGGTTTGGCTCAGCGGTTAGAGCGTTGGCCTGCGGTCCGGAGAGACCCGGGTTCGGTTCCCGCTAAGGGCACGTACTTCGGTTGCAGTTTGTCCCCGGCCCTTGTTGGTCGTGCGGGTGGCAGCCACTCGATGTGTCCCTTCACATCGATGTTTCTCTCTCTCTCTCCTTCCTCTCTCTCCCTCCCACTCTATCTGTACAAAAAATGGAAAAATATCCTCGGGTGAGGATAAAAAAAAAAGATACTTGCTTAGGCAAGCTTCTGAGTATCTAATACCAGGCTGGGCACCAAGTCTGGACATACACTCTGTTAGACCACCTTATTCATCTCTTAGTACTTAAGAGTCTCAGGACACTCAAGTTCCTATATCTGAGTACCCACATCTCTGAAAGGAATGTGTAAGTATAAGTATTAGATATTTTGGACTATCTTAGCTGTCAATCAATCTTTCGTCTATAACCTATAACAGTTGTGTAACTTTGGTGAACAGTTGGCGTTGTGAGTTGTCCATATTTACACATGTGAGTGTATGTGAAAATGAATGCTGTAGGGTTGTTTTTTGCTGGCTCAGTAGAGATGGGGTACTCAGCTCTCTCTCTTCTTTATTACCTGACCTCAAGTAGGAATGAATTTTTCAAAGCTGTAATAGGAAGCAGCAAACGTTCTTTTTAGATAAAATGTTTCAGTAAATGGGTAAACTGACTCAGCAATTTTTTGTTCATCTATCTTTTTTGATCATTACGAAAATCCATTTCTTGCCCAGGCGGTGTGGCTCAGTGGATTGAGCATTGGCCCATGAATTGAGATTCCCGGTCAGGGAACTTGCCGGGGTTGCAGGCTTGATCTCCAGTAGGGGGGCATGCAGGAGGCAACCAATCGATGTATCCCACTGACATTGATGTTTTTATCTCTCTCTCCCTCCCTCTCTCTCTAAAAAATCAATTAATAAAAAAACATATTTAAAAAATCTACTTTTAAATAAATTATCTCTGCTCACCAAGTGGATAACTTTGTAACTAGTTTATAATGAAGATACTATTTAACCAATCTGAATCATATATTCTAAAATACTCATTAGATCGGTCAGTCTCAGCCTGTAGTGTGTCTAAGAGTCATCTGGAATGCGTCCCAGCAATGCAGACTACTCTGCTTCATCTTCAGATCACTGTGCTTGTGGTTCAGCTGACCTGAAAGGGGCCAAGAATTTAACAACTCCTCACCCCTTGGTACATTTTAGCAAGGTCCCAAGTGATTTTGGGGAAAGTGGCCGCTGGATCTTTGAGAGATTCTACCATCAGTCGTCAGAGGTGCGTCTTGCTTTGTCTCAATTTGCTGTTTGTAAAGTCCTGAACAGCCTCCCAGAGTTAAGGCTCACAGTACTGGGCAGATCACTCCTCTGGGCATTCCTCTGCTGGGTGTTTCCTGGGTGTCTGTCTGCCTTACTCGTGACATCATGACTTGCAGATGGAACAGTTCATTACAGGTAGTGTTTAAACATGGTGAATTGAGTAATTGTTAATTATCCAAATATTGAGACAGGGAATTCTTTTATCATCTAATCTCAACTGAAACTGGATTTACTTTTTTTTTTTTTCTTTTTGTTTGATTCAGTGAGTTTTTGAACTGGGACTCACATGTACATGTAGCTGCAGGGAGCTCAACAACCTAGGATGCATTTGGGGGAAATTTAGAGATTCTTGTTATAATAAAGTGCTTGCTAGTGATTTCTAACTTTAGTAAATAAAAGGGTTTTAATTGTTTTAGCTTTTCCAGATATTTAAAAAGCCTTTTCAAAATTACCAAAAACTCTCTAAAACATTAATCAGTCCAACTAGTTCTTACTAATATTGTAAAATATGTGATTATTTGGTACTCTTGGAACTATGGAGCTTGTCTTTTAATTCTTTTACAACACATCACTGTGTAAAAGCATGATGTTTTGTATATCATGAGCACTCAAAACACATCTACATTCCCAACCGAGACCTCTTCAGTATTTTATATCTAACAGCTTATTCACTGTTTTTACTAGGATGTCTACTAGGCTTGACCACATTAACTTGTCTAAATCCAAACTCCTGATCCTTTCCCCTAAACTTTCTCTACTCAAAATACTTCCTACCTCAGTTGATGCTAACTCCATCATTCCAGCTGTTCAGGATGATAACTTTGGAATCATTCTTCACATCTGCATCCAATTGGTCAAAAGGTAATTTCAGCAATGCCTCCAAATTTTGTCCAAAAGCCACCACCTCCCATCACCTCCACTGTCACAACCTGTCTGAGCCGCCACCTCTCTCGTTTGAATTATAATAGCTTCTTAACCAGCCTCCTTGCTTCTGCCCTTACCCCATCTAAGCTTATTCTCAGCATATCAGACAGTTATTTTTTTAATTTATTTTTTAATCCTCACCCTACCGGACCGAACCTGCAACCTGGGCACATGCCCTGACCAGGAATCAAACCCACAGTGCTCCAACCAACTGAGACACCCAGCCAAGACCAGACAGTTATTTTTTAACCCACCCCACCTCATCTATACTTTCCCCCTTGCTCACTAGGAAGGGCCACACTGTCCTCCTTGCCCTTATGTATTGAACACTCTGAATTTACTCTTGGCTGAGACTCCTTGCATTTGTTCCTCTCTCCTCTTGGAAGGTGTTTTGCCCAGACATCCCCAAGACTCTCTTCCTCACCTCCTTCAGATCTTTACTCAAATATCATCTTAGTGAAACCTTCCCAGACCACCATTTTTAAATTGTAAGTAATAGCACCCATCCTTAAACACTTACTCCGGATCCCCATTTTCTGGTCTATTTTCCATTGCAGTTCTCATCATAAACTGATGCTTTATATTTTTACTCATTGTGTGATTTATTAGAATTTGAGCTTTATAAAAGAAGAGTCTTTGGTCTATTCAGTACACTGCTATATACAAGAGTCTAGAATATGGTACTTATGACACTTAGAAGAGTGTCTGGAATATAGTTGGCACTCAATAAGTAGTTGTTGAATAAATGAATAGAGAACTTTAAGGTTATCTTTTTCTAAAATAGGCTTAGTGTTGCAAAATACTATAAGTTACCCAAGTTCTTCAGGACCTACATTGGCAATTCTAATACTGTACCAGGAAGATAATTTATTTATTTATTTTTCAAACCCATGTTTGATGTTTAATCATCCATCAATCAAAATGCAAGTATTTGAGGACACAGGGGTGAATTCCAACTGAATATGTAGGTATAATAAAATAGAAAAAAAAAATGATCTCAGAAAAAAGAGGAAAAAAGAGAACATACTTATAGACTTCACAGATGTGGGCTTCTTTTCTTGCCAAGAACATGCCTTCTTCTAACAATAGGATAAAGCTGTGATGCTTGCCTTCATGGCATTCCGTTGGAATTAATTATCAGCTGAGCCAACAAGAGGAATTGGATCAAACACATTTTGTTGTAGCATCCAAATGACACTATTATCTTTGTTTGCCAAGCTGTCATTGAAGAAATTAAAGTGAATTTAAGAACAGGCATTTTATAATCATTTTTGTTAATGAAAGTAATAACAAAACTGTAAATATCATATGTATGATCCATGGTGTGAACTTAAATTGTGGATCCTATCAAAAATCTAGACAAAATCTTTCCAATTTCTATCACTGAACCCTTAAAAAAAAAAAAAAAATCAGGCCACCTGAAGGAATAACATGAGTGGAATGGTTCTACTTTTCTTCTTTGCTTTGATCTAGGAAATGCAGATTTCCCTGTTGAAAAGCTGAGATCCCTATTAGTTAAAAACCAATGTTTTGGAAACAGGATTCAAACTTGAAAATAAAAAGAGAGATCTTGATTTGTCATTGACTGATTACTGGATATATTTCCTTAGTTTTAAAGACTAATTACAAAGAAACAAATCTGAAATAGTCATTTGAATCTTAAATGGTTTACCAAAATATATTTTTTCTTTATATCCTAAAGTTGCCAAATACCTATTATATTAATGGAAAATGTACTTATTTGAGGATTATGCTTCATCATTCTTAATAATAGAGAAGGCAGTCCATCACAAATAAAAGAAACAGAAAATTAAAACCTTATGTTGGGCATTCACCTCTACAATTTTCCTCTGCAATTATGCCAAGATCTAAAATTACTCTGCTACCAGGAAGATAATTTAATATGACCTAAATATTTGTTTATTCATTAAATGGTTTAACAAACATGTTGTTAATCAATCCATCAATAGCTATTTATAATGTACTTACTAAATGCTAAGTCCTTGCTTGGTATTGAGGATGCAAAGGTAAAGCAAACAAATCTGCTCTTGAAAAGTTCTACTTGTTTATCTGCTTATACCAGTCGAAACAGATAAACAAGTAGATAATTATAATACAAGGAGACAAAAGCTATGATTATATAAGAGATAATCAGGGCATAGAGGAGGAGCACCAAATGATTTTGGGGTGGGGAAGACTCAGGAGGGCTACTTGAGGAGTGGATGGATACCTGAGTTGATTCTTGAAGAAGTAGTAATAGATGAGTGATTGCATGAATAAATGTTGAGACAGGATGAGATGAGACCTAAAACAATCCCAGGGATCCAGAGGACTGGAGTGAAGGATTTGGACATGGATTCAAAAGGAGATTGTAGTTGTTGAGACTGGGGAGTTGAGAGAGGGACAAATGGAATTTGAGGGTATTCCTGGCTGCTACCTTATTTTTTCTGACTTTACCTTCAAGGAGGTAAATGGTTACCAAAAGGATAACCATTTGAGAACATTAAAATATAATAAATGGTGAATGGATTGCTTTGTGTGTGTTTTTTCGAAATCTTAGCTAATGACTTTCAAAAAGTTCATATATATTTGATATCTAAGTCTGTTTGAAATAACCCTTCATGAAATATGGATGGGTGTCATGCATATTGTATAAATCTCTTACCTGCTTTTGCCTAGTCTATAAATGAAGGGTTATCTTTTATTCTTAGAATGTATGTAAAACAATTAAGACAGAATTTTCTATTTTCCAGGTTCTTGCTATAATATTATTCGGGTTCCTCCAGAGAAGGTGGACCTTGGGGATACAATCCATGGAGCCCAAGTGATATGTTCTATTGCTTCTGCAGAGAGTTTGAAACCTTCTTACTACCATAGCTTTGGTGAGTCCAGAGATTGCAGATTGAAATGGGGCCTGCTTTAATATCACTGTGGTTTGGCAAGTACTATGTCTATAGAGTTCATCAGAGTATGGTGACAATGAGACCAAGGTTGCATTTTAATGCCATATAAATTTATTCTGGTTAATAATATACTTCTTACCCTAGTCAACTGACTGCTTGAAAAGACAGTTATTTTAGTACAAGCAATTACTAAAAAATAAATTGATAACATCAAGAGTGAACTATGGACCCTGGGTGATAATGACATGTCAGTGTAGGTTCATCAATGATAAGAAATGTACCACTCTGGTGGGAATGTCGATAATATAGAATCTATGCATGTGTGGGGACGGGGTATATGAGAAATCTCTGTACTTTCCCCTCAATTTTATTGTGAACCTGAAACTGTTCTAAAAAGTCTTAATTTAAAAAACCATTTGACCATAAAAAATTAATGGTCAGAATTCAAAATTTTGGGTAACTATTTATTTTTTACCCTCACCCGAGGACATTTTTTTTCATTTTTTGTTCAGATAGAGTGGGGGGAGGGGGGGGAGAGAGAGAGAGAGAGAAACATTGACGTGAAAGGGACACATCCAGTGGTTGCCACCCACACAACCCAACCAGGGCTGGGGACAAACTGCAACCGAGGTACGTGCCCTTAGCGGGAACTGAACCAGGGTCTCTCTGGACCGCAGGCCGACGATCTAACCACTGAGCCAAACCGGCCAGGGCGAAATTTTGGGTAACTTTAAAGACCACAAATAATCATATGTGAAAAGATCTTGACTATATTTGGGGGGAAATTCATATTCTATATAGATTGCTTCAGCTTTTTCTTAGAATATTTATCTTCTGCATTCTAACCTTTTATAGCCAATCTGTTCCTGGACCCTTGCTGCCAGTATAACCAGCAAAAGAATTAAGGGGTAAAGGTTCAGATCGTAAATCACTTTCATATTTTGCTGCTTTACTTTGTTCCTAAACCAAAACAATTTTAAAAGAAAGAGAAAAAGTAAGTTGAGGGTACCCAACCCAAACTGTTTTAAGCAATTCCCTTTTTTATGTAGGGACAGGAAATCTGTATAACGAAGCGGGGAAACAGTGAGGAATTCTTCCTGGCTGGCCTTTGTCCAGGCCAGCAATCGTGTGTGCAGCTCCCAGACAGTCCCCGTAGCTGTCGCATTTCAGACAACTCTAGTTTACCAAATATTTTCATGTTTGCTGGACCCTTTCAGGAATGACAACGAACTACATAATCTTCATTGAACAACCTCTAAAGATGAATCTGTGGAAACTTGCCACTTCTAAGATTCGGGGAGAGGCCTTTTCAGATGGTTTAAGCTGGGAGCCCCAGTACAACACACGGTTTCACGTGGTCAATAAGCACACTGGACAGGTGGAGTATTTTAGTACGATTATCATGGAAATAATTGGAAACAAAGGCAAATTTCCATTTGGTTGCTTTTTAGCTTCACTGGGCATTACTGTGCGTATCTCTTAATCAAGGATATTACCTTCTGCCATAGGTAGGGCTAGCTATTTATGAATTAATACAGTACATTTAGCTTATTAGAACATTGTAGGAAATGGCTTTATCCTTTAAATGATCTGATTCAATTAAAATGGCATCTAGAAACCATCTTAGCCTGGGTTTTTCCATATTATAATATTTGCAAAAGAATATGTTGTTCATGCAAAAGTCTTCTGTAACTTTTGCAGTGGTACTTTATTTAATTAGTTGCTTCTATGACTTCTTGATATATAAATATGATCATCTTACTAAAGTCCAAAGCACATTGGCTAAATATCTTTCTGTCCTCCTGATTAGTAGCACCGTCATATCTGTTTATTTTTCCCCTCTCTAAAGAAGTAGTATCCTATATTTACTGTACTCTAATTTTATTACAAAAAAAAGTCCATTTTAATAATGAATGCATTTTTCAAAGAATTAATCACTTAAATTTATCGTAAGTTACTCAACAGCATTGTTTTCTATTTAGCCATGTAGAGTCCAGGAATTATCTATCCTTCAAAATACTGGGCCATGTTTCATGAGGACTTTAAGTTAGCTATAACAGTTGGTTGGTCTATATTAAACAGCCCCGGGGTGTTGATTCATATGAGGTGAGATGACTTAAACAAGCGATGCTTAAATCAAAGCATATTTGCTTCTACATTTCAAATTCTACTTTTGTACCTACCTGGCCTGTTATGTAATGGGGGGGAGCAGGGGTGTGTGTGTTGTAATCTTCCTAATTTGAGTTAGGTGCCTCTGTTCCCTAAAGGGAAAAAAAAATAATAAAAAAAAAAGTCTCTTATTCATTGTATTTTCCCACGCAGCTTCTTCCAGAAATGTACTTCAGTAAACCTTTTGTTACGTTTCATCAAATTAATGCTTTCGAGGACCAGGGCTGCATTGTAATTGATTTGTGCTGTCAAGATAATGGAAGAAGCATAGAAGTTTACCAACTGCAGAATCTCAGGAAAGCTGGGAAAGGGCTTGCTCAGGTAAACATCTTTGATTGTCAGGTGTATTCAAAATAATTCTGAACTAGCTTTGGCCGGTTTGCTTAGCGGTTAGAATATTGGCCTGAGGACTGAAATTGGGTTCGATTTCTGGTCAAGGGCATGTACCTGGGTTGCAGGTTCAATCCCCAACCCCAACGAATCAATGTGTGTCCCTCACATTGATATCGCTCTGTCTCTCTCTCCCCCTCACTTCCTCCCCTTTACTCCCTCTGAAAATTGGTGGAAAAATATCCTTGGGTGAGGATACAACAAAATAATAATTCTGAACTAGCCAAGTCCTGGTTTTGGCTTTGGAATTAGCTAGTTCTCTTGTCTTTTTGGCATATAAGGAAGGAGAATGGTTTTTGTTTTTTTTAATCCTCACCCGAAGACATTTTTCCATTTTTTGTTCAGGTAGAGTGGGAGGGAGAGAGAGGAACAGAGAGACAGAGAGAGAAACATCGATGTGAAAGGAACACATCGAGTGGTTGCCACCCGCACGACCGACCAGGGCCGGGGAAAAACTGCAACCAAGGTACGCGCCCTTAGCGGAACCGAACCCGGGTCTCTCAGGACCACAGGCCGACGCTCTAACCGCTGAGCCAAACCGGCCAGGGCAGGAAGGAGAATGGTTTTAAAGACACAACTTTGTTGCTTACTTATTTAATACTTAAAAATAATTTGAAGTACTTACTAATAGAAAACATGTTGAAGAAAGCCAAGAGATGTGTTTTGAAGCACTGTGATTAGTTACTTATTACATTTGAGCACTAAGCATTTAAATTCACTGGGAGAGATAGCACAATCGACTATAACCTTAATTCTCTGATAAAATGAAGTAGTTCATCTAGCTGCAGAATTTCACTTTTTTCTGATATTGAATCCAAAGGAAAATTTTCCTGGGATTATGTAATATAAATTGTTTTTAGTTATAGCTTTATTTTTAAAACATTGATTTTAAAGTTTACTTATACTTACTAAGCTTATTTACGTTATCATAGACATATGATTATAGCCAAGACCTCTTGATATCTGCAGAATGAGCCCATTAACTCTTCTCTTTTTTAAGAGCACCTAAGTTCTGCCCTGGCCAGTGTGCCCAGTGGTTTGAGTGTTGGCCCATGCACCAAAGGGTTGCAAGTTCAATCTCTACCCTGCTTTGGGAAGCATCCAATCAATGTGTCTCTCTTACATCACTGTTTCTCTCTCTCTTCCTTCTCCCCTTCCCTCCCTCCCTTCCACTCTAAAAATCAATGAAAAAAAATATCCTCAGGTGAGGATTAGCCATAAATAAATAAATAAATAAATAAATAAATAAAGTGCCTAAGTTTTTCTTGGACTTTTGCATTTCCATAAATCGAATATATCAGTCTTTTCCTTTATGAGTAAAACATTATGTACCCTGTTTCAATCATCTTCGTATGTTAAAGTCATAAAAATATTCTTTTATATTATCTTCCAGAGAAGTTTTACTTCTAAAAATTAGGTATCCATGTATGTACTATTGTTCTGGACTCTATATTCTGTTTCCTGGGGTCTTGTGCCAGTACCACATTGTTCTAATTACTATCACTATACACAAAATCTTGATGTTTAATAGATCAAGGCCTCCTAATTTTTTTCTATAGTGTTATGGTCATTCCTGGTCCTTTAAATTTTTATATAAATTTTAGAGTCAACATGTTAGTTTACACACACACATTCACACACACACACACACACACACACACACCCTATACAACAACAAAGAAACCTTTCAGATTTTAATGCATTTGTTGGTTATCTTTTTCTTGCCTTATTTTATTGGACTTCCAGTACAGTTATCTGGTTCCCAGTTTGACAGGAAAAATTTTACCATTAAGTATGCTGCTTGCTATAGATTAAAAAAAAAACAAAAAACAAAAAAACTAATAGACTTTGTTTTCTAGAGAAGCTTTAGGTTTAAAGGAAAATTAAACTGTAAGTACAGAGAGCTCCATATTATCCCTTTCCTTAATCTCCCCAGCTTCCCCTATTATTAACATCTTGCCTTGGTGTGGTACATTTGTTATAACTGATGAACTAATATTAATACTTTATTCCTAAAGTCCTAGTTTGCATTAGAGTTCACTCTGTATATTATACATTCTATAGGTTTTGATAAATGCATAATGCCCTGTATCCACCTTTATAGTATACTTTAAATGTCCTAAAATACCTTATTCCACCTATTTCTTTAAAAACATTTTTTTATTGTTGACACTGTTGCATATGTCCCCCAATGTACCCCCTTTGCCTACCTCCAGCCAGCCCCCCCCCCATTTTTTTCCAGGTATTTAAAAAAATTTTATTGTTATTCCACCTGTTCTTACCTCTTCACTTCCCTCAACCCTTGGCAGTTACTAATCTTTTTACTGTCTCTCTAGTTTTACCTCTTCAGAATGTCATCTAGTTGGAATCATACAGTATGTAGCCTTTTCAGACGGCTTCTTTCACCTAGTAACATGCCTGTAAGGTTTCTCCGTGTCTTCTAGTGACTTCACAGCCCGTATCTTCTCATTGCTAAATAATATTCTGGTGTATGGAGCTGCCATGCTTTTTTTATCCACTTACCTATTGAAAGATATCGGTTGATGTCAATTTTCAGCAGTATGAATAAACATTTGTGTGCAGGTTTTAGCTGTGGCTGTCCTGCTGTTAAACTTAGCCACTAAGTTCCTAAATTCATTGCATTTTTCAGTTCTAAAATTTCAATTTGGTTTTCTTTAATAATTTCTAGTTCTCTGCTACAATTCTCAATGTAAAAGATTTCCTTCAACATATTCAGAATAAAGTCTCATAATTCAATTATCTGGATCTCCTGTGCCTTTGTTTCTATCATCTATTCTTTATTATTTTTTTCAATTTTTATCACACTCTCTTGCCTTCTCATCTGCTGGTTAATTTTTATCATATACAGAATATTATGTTTAAAAATTATAGAAATATTGAGAGACCCAGGATGATGTTTTCTTCCTTTAGAGAAGATACTAATTTGTTTGTAGCAGATGGCTAGGGTACATTATCAATTCCAGATATTCTTTTCTTTTATGTTTTGATTAGCATTTGCACTTAATACTGTTTTATTGTTGACTCTGTTGCAGATACCCCCTACTCCCCCCCCCCCCCGTTGCCTCCCTCCACCCTGCCCCCACCCCTCCTAGGCCTTTACTACACTTCTTTTTTTAAATACTCATTCGAGTATATTTTCCCATTGATTTTCAGATAGAGTACAAGGAAGGGAGGGAGGGAAAGAGAGAGAAATATCGATGTGAGAGAGACACATCAATTGATTGCCTCCCCCATGACCCTGACCAGGTCCTGAGGTACATGCCCTTGACCAGAATCAAACCCACAGCTCTTTGGTCTTCAGGCCGATGCTCTAACTGCTGAGCCAAACCAGCCAGGAGCATATATATTCTTTGGTTGATCTCTTCCCTACCCACCTTCCCACTGAGGTCTATCAGTCTCTTCCATTTATCCATGCCTCTGGACCTGTTTTGTTCGTGTGTTTATGTTGTCCTTTAGATCCCACATATAAGTGAGATCATGTGATATTTGTCTCTCTCTGACTGGCTTATTTCATCCAGCAGAATAGTCTCTAGGTCCATCTGTGCTGTCTCAAAGGGTAAGAGTCCCTTCTTTGTTACAGCCGTGTGGTGCTCCATTATGTACATGTACCACAGCTTTTTTATCCACTCATCTACTGTTGGGCACTTGGGCTGATTCCAGATCTTGGCGATTATAAATAGTGCTGCTATAAACATAGGGATGCATATATTCTTTCTGATTGGGGTTTTAGGATTCTTGGGATATACACCCAGAAGTGGGATCACTGGGTCAAAAGGCAGTTCCATTTTTAATTTTTTGAGGAAACTCCATACCGTTTTTCACAGTGGCTGCACCAGTCTGCGTTCCCACCAACAGTGCCTAGGTCCCCGTTCCTCCACATTCTCACCAGCACTTGTTGTTTGTTGATTTGTTGATGCTTGCCATTCTGACCAGTGTGAGGTGATACCACATTGTAGTTTTTATTTGCATCTCTCCGATGATTAGTGACCTTGAGCATTTTTTCATATATCTATTGGTCATTCTCTTGGGAGAAGTGTTTGTTCAGGTCCTTTGCCTAGTTTTTGTATGGTTTGTCTTCCTAGTGTTGAGTTGTGTAAGTTCTTTATATATTTTGGAGATTAACCCCTTATCTGATGAATCATTGGCAAATATGTTCTCCTATATGGTGTGTTCCCTTTTCATTTTACTGATGGTTTCTTTTGCTGTGCAGATGCTTCTTAGTCTGATGGAGGCCCATTTGTTTATTTTTTCCAGTGTTTCCCTTTCCCTCAGAGACATATCAGCGAGAACATTGCTCCGAGACATGTCTGAAATTGTATTGCCTATTTTTTTCCCCAGGATTTTTACGGTTTCATGACTTACATTTAAGTATTTTACCCATTTTGAGTTTATTCTTGTGTATGGTGGTCTAGTTGCATTTTTTTTTTTTTTTTTGCATGTTGCTGTCTAAATTCCCCAACGCCATTTATTGAAGAGATTCTTTTTACTCAATTGCAGGCTTTTGCTCCCTTTGTCAACTATTAGTTGACCATAAAGGGATGAGTTGATTTCTGGGCTCTCTTCTGTTCTATTACACTGATCTTCATGCCTGTTCTTATGCCAGTATCAGGCTGTTTTGATTACAATGGCTTTTTAGCATAGATTGATATCTGGCATTGTAATTTCTACAACTTTGTTCTTTCTCAAGATTGCCGAGGCTATTTGGGATCTTTTTTGGTTCCATATACATTTTTGGAATATTTCTTCTAGATCTCTGAAATATGCCAATGATATTTTATTAGGAATTGTGTTGAATCTGTAGATTGCTTGGGGTAGTATGGACATTTTATTTTATATATTTTGTTAGTACTCACCTGAGGATATTTTTCCATTGAGTTTTTTTTTTTTTTTTTAGATAGAGTGGAAGAGAG